ATACCGTGTGTCCGTTCTCAAACTCGAACATAGGGATTTAACATGGAGTTGAACGTTTTTGCGGATTTCTGCTCGCCAACTTATTCTACAGAAAAGGTAATGGTATCATTGGAAAGAGAAAATTATTGCGCATCCACTGATACTAACAACAAGACTAAAAATTGAAATTGTAATGAAAAATTTTAAATCGTTTTGATTAAAAATTCGACAGTATTTTCCAAAACATAGTAGGCTTGAAACAGTTTGTTTATCAATAAAAATTTGACGTTTACGCTTTTGTGAAACTGAATTTACGGAAAGATGAATAATTATACCAACGAAGAAAGAGTTTTTATGGTAAAAACCTTTTATAGCGGTGTTAGTTTGCGAAGAGTTCGAGATTTGTTTGCCGTTGCGTTTAATACGAGACCGATACCATCAGCAAGTACCATACAAAAATATGTAGAAAAATTTGAAAATCAGGCAAATATTTCAGTAGAATCAGAAAGTAGGGGAGGTGAGCATTACAAATTTTATTTTAAAACATGTTCTAAAATGACATCATATCATAGGATATCGACAAGGGGATGACCGCACAGAAGAGCAAGTTTTGGCGATGATAAATGCAGACCCAACGTACAGTTTGAGGCAAATTTCCCATGAAACTGGTTTATGTAAGTCGCGGGTATGGATGATATTAAAGAAATACAAATATCACCCTTATAAACCACAATGTCATCAAGAGATTTTTTATGTTGACGAAGAAAGTAGGAGTGCATTTTGTTATGAGATACAAGAGCGCGCTAACAACGATCGCCGCTTTCTATCGTCGATATGCTTCACAGACGAGTGTACCTTTACCCTCAATAATGAACCCAATGTTCAAAACACACGTCATTGGGCTCAGGAAAACCCTAGGCTTAATATTTCAACCAGAACTCAGTATCCTCAAAAAATTAATATCTGGGCTGGGATTTTTAATCATAATATTATCGGCCCATTTGAAATTGAAGGAAACTTAAATTCAGAAACCTATTTAGATCTTTTGGTAACAAAGGTAGGACCCGCATTGGAAGACGTTGCAAGAGAAAATCAGGAGATCTGGTTCCAACAAGACGGCTGTCCTGCGCATTTTGGTTTAAACGTTAGACATTTTTTAAATAATTCATTTCCAAATCATTGGATTGGTAGAAGTGGTACCATAAATTGGCCAGCCAGATCTCCAGATTTGGCACCTTGCGACTTCTTCTTGTGGGGACACCTTAAAAGTAAAATTTATAAAAGACGCCACCCAGATATTAATTCTTTGAGAGAAGCTATAGTTACTGAATGCGCGTTAATTACTAACAGGGAGTTAGCGAATGTGCGAAATAGTTTTTACAACCGACTGGGATATTGCTTAGCTCAAAACGGGGGGTTATTTGAATATTTACTTTAATTTGTTTTTCCTTACTAGTATTTTTGTGTATTTTTAATAAAAATCGTTCGAAGCCTTTATTGCTAACATACTATATTGGTGTATTATAGAAATAATTGCCAAAAGACTACGAATTGAATACACATATTAATTCCCTATGTTCGACTTTGAGAGTGGACACCCGGTATAATCCCATGTATACAGGGTGAGTTTTTTTTCATTTTAAGCATTGGGATCTCGAAAACCACCAGACATACGGATTCGGTTAAATGAGAAAAGAGTTGTCGTTTTAAGAGCTTATTTAAGATATGCTTTTGTTTTTTGAAAAAAATCCGCAGTTCACTAGATATGAGCGAAAAACAGATATTTAGTGATTTTTCATTTAACTGTTGTAGAATCGTTATTATTAGAAATACAACAAAATGACACGAATAAAAGTTTTAGACATTTTAATGCTTAACATGATGAACATACTAATTTATTTTTAGATCTTACAATTTTTTAGTTAAAGCTTTAATTTCTTAAATGGTAGTCATAGTTGGCTTTGACATTTTTAAAAAGGACAAATTTTTCTCTATAACGATATAAGGCTTACTAAATGTACTTTAATAAATAAACGCCCTGCAGTAATTTTCGTATTATTGAGAGGTAAGTAATAGTGGGGTCGTTATACGCCAACACCAATATTTTTGTCATTAAAACTTGGTACACTTGCTACTTAGGTAGACCCGAATGGAAATCGCCCGGGAGGCAGCGGGAGATACGCTGCTGTGAGGGAGGGGGAGGGGATAAACTTTTCTTACGCCGCGCGCGCTGTTGGTGGTCATAACTGCTAAATTATAACTACTCGGGCAAGTGTGTGGTATCATTTTCGCATAAATAAAAGATGGCCAATCATTTTCTGAAACAAAAAAAGCATACGGACAAAAAATCGAATTACGGTCAAAAATCTAGAATTTTATTTACAAAAAAAATTCTTCAAATGACCATAAACTTTGAACTAGCGCCGATATCGCCTACAAAAAATATAATTAAAAAGCCACATTCATACGTATTCTAAAAATATAAGCTTCCTTGGAACAGTTTAATAAAAAATGCATTTAAAAAATATTAAACACGGCGCGGCAGAGCCGTAAAAACTCTTAGAAGATTAAGGACAACGAAAACGACTTCTATATGTTGATAGGGTCCTGTCACTAGTAAGAATAGTGTTTTCTTTATATAGAATAGAGCACAATGTTAATGTTTTTACAATAAAAGATATTGTATGTACCGTATTGTTTATGTATTTATAGTCGGAGCATGTCAACTCGACGATGGTAAACTCGGCGATTCCAACTCGGCGATTCTAAGTCGGCGATCGTCAACTCGGCGATAGTAAACTCGGCGACGGTGCCTAAACATCCATAGCACATCCAAAATGTATATTTATAAAATATCCATAATGGACATAAAATACATATGTCTATAATGAATATACATCGATGGTATACAAGATGGACAGAATATTCCCTGTACATTTTGGATTTAAAATGTATATACATAAGATATCGAATGCTATGTGGGAACTTATTCTGAAGTACCCGCCGTGCGGACGATTTACTGCATCTCTCTTCGCACCTCTCACTCTAATTACGTGAGTTTAGAGCCTCTCTACAACCGTATTGAATCAAGCAGCTGCGCGACCGCCTGTGTACACCATGCTCAACACACTTAGTACTAGCGGTATACCAAAAGATACTGCATTTTCTTATACCAAGGTGCCACTTGGTACAGCTGTTCCTTAGAGCCATTTAGATGATTTGGCCCGAAGAACACTTGACATTTTCCGTGTGGGTAGATTTTAGAGGGGGTGGGGGTGATTTATTGTAAAAATTTTTTCAAAACTAAATATGGCTTAGAGACGAGATCTGGGTGTCGATTTCGTATGATTTTAACCCGAGGAATCCAATGGTAGCGCCAGAAATCTAATCCGGATACAGGAAGTCCGTGAAAAGCCGCCATTTTTGGAAAATGACAGACTTTTGATCGAATTATATTTCTAAGGCACACCGGGTCGTGTAAGGTGTCTAGAGTTATGTTTTTGGGGTCAGGGAATTCATTTATGATAACAAAAATAACCTACTGGCATCGGAACTGCATGAGAGGCTTCCCTACTGCACTTTTGAAGACGTCGCACGCGGTGAAACCCAAGATATTCCAAAGTTTAATACCTATATAAACTTGTAATATTTTATTTAATAAAAATACACATTAACAAAACATAAAATATATTAAAACATGGGGTAAAAAAATTGAAGAATATTCTATGAAGAATCACCAAGTACATCGCTGACCTCCTCTGAGATTGCGTTATCACCAATGAAAAGGAATTTCACATACCGGGTGAATATTTTAAAACCAAACGTAGGAAATTAACATGCGAAATAGTAGATTAAGATACAAGTGTATAATCAAGTCTTTAAAGCACGCGCAACGAGTTTAAGGGCACGACGCAAAGCGGAGTGCCTTTAACGTTGCAAGTGCTTTAAAGACCAATTAAACACGTGTATCTTATAGTATTTTTTATTATACCTGCAGTATAATTTAAAAATAGGAAATACAATGAAGTCATATTGACGTTATACTCGAATACATGTCTAATTAAGTGGGCTGGGTGTTCGTAATTTCACGATTACCATGAAAATGTCACTTGACGTTTGCTTATAAAAATCATCGTCTTTGTGAATTAAACGATTTCCGTTGAAAAAGATAATACACCGTCCATTAAATCGATTGTTGTAAAATGTAAACAAACGTTGGTAGGTGTAAAATCAAACTCCAGTAAAGCCTATTATAAAGAATATGAAAAGTTGTTTCCATGGATGAATAGGAAGTTACTTACGAATACAGTCTTAAATGCATCCATAATGCTGGCATATATGAAGGAAATGTCAAAGGTATTTAAATATTCTATATTTTGGTGCATTCATTCAAATCTTTAAAGCAGTGCTGCGATTAAAAAGTGGAACAGATTTGGAAGCAAACCCTAAATTACGCGCGTTTGTGAAAGCTTCAACCAAAGGATAGGTACAAGCCAAAGAAATGTTCTGCATTTACAGAAAGCGACCTAAGAGGATTTTTTATTTCATCCAGATGACAGTTTCAGAAGTCATACTTGAAGTATCGTTACTTAGCAACTTTAAAGCACGTGTGTTTTAAAGGCCCTTTTTCGCACGCATTTGAGTGTTTAAAACGGAGATTGTGATTCAGGTATAATAAAAAACGTTTTTTTGCCGATCGTTGCTCCCCATGTTAACTTAGAGGGTTTGTAATGACACCAATCAAAAGAAGTTTTTTTCTCATCTAATGATATACGAATTAGCTTATTTTCAGGTGTATTTCTCATTATTTTATCAAAAATTCGGCAATAAATCCAATTAGCAAAATCATGTTAAGCCATGGAAATTTCCTAACTAATTGAAGTAGGTTTTCACATGCACGGAAAACAAATATCGCGTACTAGAGTAAATATTTTCGCTGTAAACGTTGTTTATTATAAATACTTTTTCCTCAGTGAACCGCATTTTACAAAAAAATTATTGCCAGGTGTCATAAACTGATATTGACTTCGACGTTTGAATCTGCTTTTTGTCTTAGTCATGGCTAAACATGATTTTGGTAAGTGGATTTCTCGAGTTTTTTATAATATAGTGAGAAATATACATGAAAATGAACTAATTCGTATATCAGTAGACGAGGAAAAAAATCTTTCGATTGGTGTTATGATCAACCCTCTAAGTTAACATGGGGAGCAACTATCTACAAAAACCCCTTTTCCCATGTTAATTCCCTATGTTCGTTTTGGGAATATTCCCCCGGTATAAATATTAAAGGTTCGGTAGTAAATTAGGTATATGCGAAAGTATACAATATTCTTACCCTTTGTTTGAGCAATCTCCCATAAATTTTTGGCATGCAGGGGAACATGGCAATCCGTGTCGCCGGCAGCTGCACCGAGGGTCTCGCAGCCATACCTGTCCAGAGCATGGACTGCCTTCCATACATGTGGCAGCTTGGACTACAGAACCTTCCTGCCTTTGGCTTCAAGAGTCCATCCCCATCCTTCTGGACTTGTAGAGCTTCTCATCACCTGGTTTGCACATCCCCAGATATGGCCAGACGCCGCCCTCCTTATGTACTCCTCCAACTCGTGCTGCGGCGACACGGATTACCATGTTCCCCTGCATGCCAAAAATGTATGGGAGATTGCTCAAACAAACGGTAAGAATATTGTATACTTTCGATATAATTTACTACCGAACCTTTAATATTTATATGTAAAATTCCTTTTCAGTGATGATAACGCATAATCTCCAGAGGAGGTCAGCGATGTACTTGGTGATTCTTCATAGGTTTATACATTTTTTACCCCATGTTTTAATATATCTTATGTTTTTTGTTAATGTGTATTTTTATTAAATAAAATAATATAAGTTTATATAGGTATTAAAACTTTGGAATATCTTGGGTTTCACCGCGTGCGACGACTTCAAAAAGTGCAGTAGGGAAGCCTCTCATGCAGTTTCGATGCCAGTAGGTTATATTTGTTATGATAAATGAATTCCTTGACCCCAAAACAATAAGTCTAGACACCTTACACGACCCGGTGTGCCTTAAAAATATAATTCGATCAAAAGTCTGTCATTTTCTAAAAATGGCGGTTTTTCATGGACTTCCTGTATCCGGATTACATTTCTGGCGCTACCATTGGATTCCTCGGGTTAAAATCATACGAAATCGATACCCAGATCTCGTCTCTAGGCCATATTTAGTTTTTTAAAAAATGTTACAATAAATCACCCCCACCCCCTCTAAAATCTACCCACACGGAAAATGTCATGTGTTCTTCGGGTCAAATCGTTTAAATGGCTGTAAGGAACAACTGTACCAAGTGGCACCTTGGTATAAAAAAATGCAGTATCTTTCAAGAATTTCCGTTATACCGCTAGTACTAACTATGCCACTGAACCTACAGGAGAAATTTACATATTTACCAGCTAGATTCTGTAATTCTGACAATAAAAATGTAATTAC